GTCTACGAATTGAGACTAAATCAATGACAGTCTGTAACCACTGACTTATTGCGTCTTTAAAGTCATGGCCGGAAGGTGTACACTTTCTCATGCAAATATTTCTTACAAAAGAAGATGATCTAATACTCTAGTGGGTTTTTTTTCGAAACAACTTTCAATAAGAATAACCACCAGACGAGTTGAAATTCTCAATGTATACATTAAGAATAGATTATATGTCAAGGGAACTGAAATTTAGTTCCATTATAGTAAGAAAATCCTCGGTAATTTACTATCAACTTACATAGGAATGCATTTCAACATGGGGTTCAATTCATCAACCAATTTCTTAAGTGTATCTTATGATTATTAGTGGAGAGTTTGACTAAAGTATAAAAGTTTTTCACTTGAAGACTGTTATTAAACATTGTAACTGGGTCTACTGTTTTAGTAACTTGGGGTATTTAATATCAGATGTTTACTTCTATACGATAACATATATTTGAGTTGAAGAAAGTCGTAGACCACTAAAAGTTAGAATGAATGAACACAAGTTCTGTAGGAAACATCCACTGAGGAATCAAGAGAAGTTAAAAAAATTTAGAGAAAAGAACAGCAATCGAAAGTGGACATATGATTAACTTTGAGGATGTAGATATAAAGATTAACTTCCTAGGCATTCTACAGACAACTGCAAACAGTACTAGACAAGACCCCAGTTGGAGACATTAAAATTCTAATGGGCGAATGTGTGCAGATATATTCACTCCTTTACATCTTCTAATGGTGGATTGTTCACACTAACCGTAATCTTCACATTGTTTTGTCATACAACTTTGTTTCTTTTGATGTCACTCCACTTGGTCTTTAAATACTTCTCTGAATTGTGGCAACTTAAACCGATGCACTTCTGCACGAAGTTCGGTGATTTTGATTTTCTTTCTATATGAGCTGAAACTCGCCTGGTTAACCAGTTCACTAGTTATTAGCCGGTCCTAAGCCCGCATAAGGAGCAAAGGTTGGCCACAGGGCTAGCAAATCTACCAATCCGATTACTAAAAAAACTTCAAAGCACAAACAAAATGCAAAAAATAAAAACAAAATTATTTCTCGTTGGAATCGGAGAGGTGAAAGCACGCCAGTTGGTGAAAGCCTTCAGGAAGCCAATTGGCCGGTGTATCTTCTCTCGATGGAAATGAAAGTAAACATCGGGACATGGAATGTCCGCACCATGTATGAACCAAGCAAGGCAGCCAAGATTGCAAGAGAGATGAGGGGTACAGCATGGAAATTCTTGGAATCCGCAAAAGCAGATGGAATGGAATCGGAATCTCCTAACTGTCAACTGGAGAGGAGAGTCAATAATCTACTCCGATATTGTCACCCACACGACAACTACAACCACACTGAGTGTTGGAGTGGCTATCATGATGTCCCCAACAACATCAAAGGCCCTCATACAGTGGGAATCAATCTACTCCAGCATCACGATCATCACAGCAAGGTTCAACTCAAAAGGAAGGAAGGTCACAATCATACAATACCAATACTACACTATGCACCTACAAATAATGCAGATGAAGAGGAGAAGGAAGAATTCTACAGACAACTGCAATCAACACTGAACAAAACGTCAGTTGGCGATATCAAAATTGTAATGGGTGTGGTGACATGAATGTCAAACTGGGAGTGGACAACACAGGAAGAGAACTAACCATACATCGAGAAGCACTCGGTGAGGTGATGAACGAGAATGGAGGATTGTTTGCAGAATTCTGTGCATTCAACGATTTGGTGATTGCAATGAGGCACTGTGTTCAGGTACAAGAATATCCACAAAGCGACATGGATTTGATTTCACCAGACACCAGGTCACGCTAAAAATCACATCGACTTCATCTCAATGTGAAGAAAGTGGAGACGCAGCCTACCTGACACAAGGTCAAGAAGGGGAGCAGATGTAGGCTCAGACAACTATCTAGTGCAAGAAACCTAACCTCAAAATCAAGTTGAAAGCCTTCAAGGAAGCTGGTGATAGACCACAGTTGAAGTACAACACTCGGAAACTGAACTGAAGGACGAAGCTACACAGAAAATCTTCACGTCAGCCATCAAGACAAAATGGGAGATACGAGCAACATTTCTGAAGAAACCTGTGTGGATGACCACTGGAAGTCTTTGAAAGCTATGTGGAAAGAAGCCTGGATAACCGTATTAGTAAGGAAGAGGAAAGGAGAAAAGGAATGTATCTCGATGGATACATGGAAGCTGACAGAGCAGAGAGAGGAGAATGTTGAAGCAGAAGATAAAGCAATGCAGTGCAAGGATGCACAACAAGAAGAGGAAGTGAGTGCAATGTATAAAATACTACACTGGACAAAGAAGTGAAGAAGAGTGTGTGGGAAGACAAAAGACACTTCTACGACACATTGTCAAGTGAAGCGGAACAATCTGCAGGTAGGAGAGATAGAGACAGATAGAGACCTGACAACACTGTATCGGATAAACAGGTTACTATCTGGCAAGGGAAGAGATCAACATAGTGCAGATGAAACCAATAAAATATGATGAAGGAAATATAATTACTGAAGAAGAGAAACGAGGGAGATGATGGGCTGACCACTTCAAGAAGCTTTTGAACCGATCACCACACCTGCACTCCGTCAGAAATACCACCTGCAGCTCAGCCACACAACTACACGTGAACATAAATCCTCCAAGAATAGTGGAAGTCCTGAGAGCCGTAAAGCTACTGAAATGAGGGAAAGCATCAGGATTAGATGGGATCCCATCAGAAACACTGAGAACAGACGCAGAGACAACAGTGGACATGCTCACATCACACCACTATTGAGGAAGGTGTGGAAGGAAGGGAAGGCACCTGTCCATTGATTGGAAGATGAGCTTTCTTGTCAAACTGCCGAAGAAGAAAGGGACCTCAGTGTTTGCAAGAACTGGCACGGAATCATGCTTCACTCCTGTCCACCCACAGCAAGCAAATTGTTATGCCGCATCATCTTGGAGAGACTAAAGGATGAGCTGGATTCAAAACTACAACCCGAACAGGCTGGCTGCATTCACGAAGTACAAATCATGTGCGGACCAAATCACAAGGCTTCGCATTATCACAGAACAGAGTGTAGAATGGCAGTCAACTCTCTTCCTCAATCAACTTCATCGACTTTGAGAAGGCCTTTGACAGCGTCGACCGAGAGGTGATTTGGAAACTGCTTCAACACTACACAATACCACAAACCTTTATCAATCTCATTCAACAACTAAAAGAAGACACCACATGCCAAGTAATTCACAAGGGGAAGCTCAGCGATGCTTTTGAAGTGAAGTGAAGAGAGGAGTTAAACAAGACTGCAGTCTACTATCACCCATAATATTCCTGATTGTGGTCGACTGGATCATGCAGCAAACAGTGGGGAGCTGTGAGAGGAGGGAGATAGACTGGACTGTGGAAAATAACCTGGATGATCTGGATTTTGCCAGTGATGACTTATGCCTGATGTCACACAAACTTGAAGATATACTGGCGAAAACTAACAAGTTGACAGAAGAGGCGAGTCAGGACAGCAAAGGCGGGACACCATTCAAGTGAATATGGAGAAGACAGAGGTGATGAAGATACCGCACCACCACCACCAACAACAACAACAGCAAACACCAATCACAATCAATTGGGAGAAAATTGAAGGAAGTAGCCTCTTTCACCTCTCTAGGTAGCACTGTTTCAACTGCAGGTGGCACTGACGAGGATGTCAAAGTCAGAATTGGAAAGGTAGCAAGAAAGGTGTTTATTAGCCTGAAACCAGTGTGGAGATCTTGTGGTCTGCACTCAGCATGAAGAGTGAACAAGATGCGGATTTTTAACACCAATTCAGTCAAGTCAGTGCTTTTGTATGGTTCAGAAACTTGGCGCGTTACGAAAGTGATTTCCAATAAACTACAGACATTCATCAACAACTGCCTACACTCATTCGATATTGAAGATCAAATGGCCAGGAAGAATAAGCAACGAAAACCTCTGGCCTGGCGATGGACCAACCAACAGCCTATCACTCAACAAATATGCACTGGAAGGAAGTGGAGATGAATTGGGCATACATTGAGGAGGCCGACGGGGGACATTACGCATCAGGCGAGGCTGTGGAGTGGGAAGCGGCGAGTTGGGCGTCTGAGGCAAGGGTGACATGGAGGATATCGTGCGAGGAAGAAATGAGAGGTTGTGAGGAGTCGTGGAGCCAGAACATTCATAACAACTGTGGTCTTTATGTTTATAATGTAATGCTTTAAATTTTCATATATTCAAGCAAGAAAGGAAGTAGATCAGCATAAGGTTAGTCCATAAGGACTGATGGAAAGCTAATTTATCCAAAATACATTTCATTTGGCAGTGCACACCCATAGCCTTATGCTTGACTGTACTGAGTGTCATAAGGCTCTGTGTGGAGTAAATACCCTTTCATCTATATTCATGGAATACCGTTACTCAAGTTTTTCAACTTTTATCAAGTTGTAATATAGTAATATGAAAATCTCAATCAATGCCTAGTGAAATTTTGAAATGGAAAGACTGAAAAGAATGAAATGGTAGTCGATTAGAGTTTTCAGAATCTTGAAGGTGATAAACGTAGGCATAGAACCTGTCATCCCTACCTATTGATTCATCCCACAACATTATATACAAAACAGAATTCATTAGTGCAAATAATTTTGAACCCTCTGAGTAAGAGTTCTCAACGATTACTTTCTAACATCTCAGGGGTTTTGACTAAGCATCTCGAACCAATTTACTCAAATGGGACTAACGATTAGTGAGTGCCTTTTCGAATCACTACCGCATTTCATTTGATTTTGGTTAGTTTTTAATCATTCAGATAAAGGAGACCTAAATACCAATAAACTGTTAGGTTTGTTCGGTGTTCAATGTCATCTTGAATAAAAATGATGTTGGAAAAAATGTTTCTTCTTTTTGAACGAAATCTACTCCTTATACAGACATTTTTTTTCAGCTCATATCTGTGTATATCTTCTACAACATGAAATTCTTTATAGAATGACCTCTATTCCAAGGAATCTTCCTTTGTCAATTTTAGAAGAACTATCAATTCTATTTAGTGAATATTTTATTCAGCATATTAAACCAGATAACAGATATAAGTTGTTGAATCAAATTCAATGGGGAAGGTATTTGAATACTTCAAAAGATGATATAATGCCTTATCCTCTATTTCCAACATTTATTACACCCGATCATATATTCACTGATAATCATTATATATGGAAAGATATTTTATTAAAGTGGGAAGATTCTTTGTCTATAAGAAGAAAAGATTTAATTACTGAATTTCTTGGAGAGTTATATCAGACTTCTTTGTTCCATAGTGTTTTTGAACGCTTACAATCATATGATGCATTCACAGAGGATATTGTGGAATTTCAAAATTATTTTCATCAAGTATGGTTTGGACAATATATATGGGATCAAATGTCCACATCGGCATCTACACCACATACATGTGGATTTCAACATGTTTATATTGGTGAAAAGCATCGATCAACAATTAAAGGTCTTCATCATTGGAAACGTTATTATATTTTAGAGAAAACTGGTCGTTTAATTCTGAAGAAAATTCATAAAACACATCCACATATACATATTTCATCAATGCGTTTTGATGTAGACAATGCTGTTAAACCATATGGAACAATATTTTTGGATTACCTATAGATTATGAAATGTTAATATTTTTGTGTGCATTTCTTGTTGGTGTCAATCGTCAGGTAAACTTTTTGATTGATGGTGTTCACACTACTGTGGTGTGTTATGATGTAGCTACACAGAGTGATGCATTAGCAACAGCATTTTTTAAATATTGAATGTATACTATAAAGATAACAAATATTATTATTGTATTTTTGAGATGAATGGGGATTTTTAATTTACAAGTAGTATTCATCATGGAGTGATATCAGTTGGGGGACCACTGAAAATCTGGGAGCACTAGACAGCTGTTTCGTCCTAGTATGGGACTCCTCAGCAGTACGCACCCACGACCCGGCTAGGGGTGGAACTCAGCACCTTCAGGTTTCACGGCGAATGCGTTAACCATTCAGCCACTGGGTCGGTTTCCACTGGTTCACAATTTCCAACTTCTGTCAATTCACGACACAGCGTGACTGTCACCCAAAGTCTTCAGTCAGCATCCACTTCACTTCCGACTGGTTGACCCCACAGGTCACTGCTCCTCATTACAGCCTCCTGATTTCCATCCGGCTTTGGAAATCTGGGAACATTGAACAGCTGTTTCTTTCCAGTATGGGACTTTTCTGCAGTACGCACTCATGGCCTGGCTGGGGATCGAATGGTTAACGCGTTTGCCGTGAAACCTGAAGGTGCTGAGTTCCACCCCTAGCCGGGTCGTGGGTGCGTACTGCTGAGGAGTCCCATACTAGGACGAAACGGCTGTCCAGTGCTCCCAGATTTTCAATGGTTCCCCAACTGATGTCACTCCATGATGAATACTACTTCCAAATATTATTATTGTTCGCATCATTGTGTAAGGGTCATTTGTAGTAAGGGTGAGTGAGTATACCATGTTTAGTCATACAGCTGTGAGACATGACCTCTGGAAAGAAAGATATGAACAGATTAGATGTTTTCTATAACAAGTGTTTTCATGGCGTTGCTCATTTATAGTGAAATCAATGTCTAAGCAATGGTGACATCAACCTAGAGGTAGTATTCATGAAAGGCAATTAGGTCAAGGAAGTTGTGGACCTTCATTAATTTGAATGGGCTGACTATGTTTTCTGTATACCTGGCAGTAGCATACCTCGACTTGGAATTGTAGTCAGAGAAGAAGTGGGTCAGAAGAAGGTTACGGGGGTGGTCAAATAAAGACTTGGCATCAATTGACGAAGTTCTTGACTAGTGATCCCGTTTGCCCAACATCCAGCCTGAACCTGAGTAGGACGCTAATGTCGGTCCTCCAAATCTCTTTGAAGTTTAGAAGAAAGTATCAAACCTAAAAGAGGTAAAGCAGTAGGATCTGATAGATTGCCACATGAAGTTTTCAAGGTTGGAGGTAGAAAATGACAGCATAAATTGATAGAAGTACTAAGTAGTGTATGATAATCAGACACAGTGCCATCAAACTGGCCAACTTCACTAATTATTCCAGCTTGGTGGTAAAAAGAGAAGTCCTCCTGTGACAACTATAGAGGAGTTAATTTGACTAATATAGAGTCCAAGATCCTAGAATCCGTAGTTATTAGACGCCTAACTGGAGCTCGGAAACAGCAAACTCCAGAAAACCGGGGAGGTTTCAGACAGACTTGAATCAGGGTACATCAATCATATTTTTGCCCTTTGACAGAATCTGGAACACAGACAAACTTACCAGCGACCAACTTTCAACATATTTCTTGACTTGTAGGCGGCATTTGGCTTAGTTGATCGTGTGGTGTTGTAGCAGTGTCTGACTGTGAAGCGAGTACTGAGCAGGTGTAGTGTGCTCATCGAAGCTCCCTACTCGAAGTCATACAACAGTGTCAGGGCGTATGAAGAGTTTTCATTTAAACCGACGTCGACTCGTGATGTCTGCCAGGGTCATTTACCGTCCCCGTTACTACTTGACTTCCTAATAAACGTACTACTGGACATAACCTTAGGTACGTTTGAGCTCACAGGGGTTGCTGTACTCTCTACAGGTCATCCGATTGACGCGTCCTGCTGGGTAAAGACGCTGGCACAATGCAGTCATCTGGACGTGTTGATCAGAAATATGAGTATGTTTGGCATGCATTTCGTTATCACCTGTCGACTGTAAGATTATGCTCCAGAAGTAGTCTACAACTAATCCCACTTTAATGATTGGAAGTAAAGTGGTGGGATGTGTCGACCACTTCACTTACTTGGGGATTGGCATAAGTCCAAATAAGTTAGTTGTTGGATACAAAAAGACTGTTTAGCATTCGCCAAATTACACTCTTACTGGGGCCAATTAACAAGACATTCGATTATCTGCCATATTACGAGTATGCTGCACTGCAGCCTATTCTGTTCTATTATACGGCTGTGAGACATGGCCACTGACAGTAAAAGACATGTAGCGGTTGCAGAGTTTCGACAGTAGGTGTCTTCGTAGCATTTCTCGCGTGTGTGCAATGTTGAGGTTAGACGAAAAGTACTATGGAAGATAGGCAGGTAAACCTGTTGATAACGTTGTGAACGTACATTAACTGAGATGTCTAGGAAATGTCACACATGCAAAGTAACTGCTTACCGCAAAGTTTTATTCTAGCAGAAAGTAGATTAGGTTGGGAGAGGTTTCAGGGTGACCACACCAAGATGTGGCACCAGTCAGTGAAGTCTTTCTTTAACTGTTGTTCTGAGCCATGTGTGGAGGTGCATACCACCTCATTTGCGTCCTCAAGATAAAAGAAATCAATGGTTGTGAATTCTTGGTGATATGATTCAAAAGCGGTCACAATGGTGAAGAGATATTCACTCCTTGACATCTTCTAATGCTTGAATGTTCACACTAACCGTTATCTTCAGATTGTTTTGTCGTGCAACTTTGTTTCTTTTGATATCACTCTTATTTTATCCACTTGGTCTTTAAATACTTCTGTGAATTGTGGCAACTTAAACCGATGCACTTCTGTATGAAATTCTGTGATTTTATTTTTCTGTCTATCTATCTGAGCTGAATCGGAAGGTGTAGATTGCTTGTTTAAGATTGTCGAGATGCTAAGAAGTAACAGAGGGAGAGTTTTGATGATATGTCTAGAAATCAGTTACAAATGTACAGAATTATATACTCTTCATCATCTTTGAACTCTTGGATTAAACTATGTCTGTTTGTTTTATCTCCTGACTAATATTTGTCCGCCTTAATGTCCTTCTTTATCTGTGCATTAATGTTATGGCAATAAGGACAGATGAAATGTTGTATCAGGTTTAATAATATTCATCTGTCTATCTTACGTGTTTAAGCAACAAAATAACCTTATTTGACAGGTTAACTTTGATGATCTTAGGAGATAGTGGCTTCAAGTGACCCGTAAAACCTAAATTACAATAGTTTTCAAAACAGCAGTTTGAAAGTGCAATAACAGAGCAACCAATATGATGTTGAACGTGGAGACATTCTTAAACCTTTCAGCTATATAACAGCAGCCTTAAATTTATCTTTGTTCAAGTGAAACAAAGTTATAGTTGACAGACTGGTCTTGTAAACCAGTACACAAAATAGCACTCACAGGAGATAGGTGTTTCTAATCCAAATCATTCTATAACACAGGTTTATCTATCAAATTTAGTCATAAATTCAACTGCAAAAAATGTGAGGAATTGAAACTTCTAATCCCATTGAAGAATGGCTTTTGTTAACAAGCATGTAAAAATACTTACTGCAAAGATCAGAGGTGGCGAATATTTGTCGCTCATGTGGATGGTCTTGGTTGTGTTTTGTTCTCTGGGCTGGGTTGTTTAATCGTGAAGCTTTCATCGTCTTTCCAGACGACATCATCAGCATTAACTTGAGTAGGAAGTGAGCTGTCAGTATCTCTCCGTGAGTGAACTAGTAGCTTCCCCTGACCAACTGGTTAGTGATTGGTTCTTTCCTTTGAATATTATGTCGTTGTTTGCATAAATTTTCCTGTTGACTGTTCCTCTGCTTGACCTCTGAACTTTCTATCGTTTATCATTTTTCTCAGTGGTTGAAAGATTGAGCCTGTGTCTATACATCTACTGACTGACTGACTTGAATACCAAGCGCCCTGGAACTGTCTGATATTCTTTGTGTTTCCTCTCTCCTTCGAAGATTTCTACATTGTCAAAATTGAATTTATGTCCATAATTATCAACGTGCACTAAGATGAGTGGTGAGATGCTGTGGAGTTTAATAGCCAATTGGTGTTGATGTAGATGAAAGCGAAGGGGGCGATCACCTTGTCCAATATAGTGTTGCTTACAGTTATCGCAGCTGATTTTATATATTATATTTTTGGTTTGTCGTCTTTGATTGTTGCATCCCATGATCTGGAGTGTAATAGTTGGTTTATGAGTGGCCACACCAACTCCAAGTAGTCTCAGTAACTTTGTCGTGATATATTCTTTGTGTATGGTAGGATGATGCGTTTGTTGATTTCGGCGGATAACTTTGTAGTTGATGATGTATGTGATAGGTATTTGTGATAAAGTTTCTTCTTTATGATGGACATCAAGTAATTTTTTTCATTTCTCGGTGAAGTTGTTGCACTGCCGTATGTTCTCGCACTTTTGAATTGACTAAACAACCCAACTCAGAGAGAATAGTACAATCAAAAATATCAAAGGACTGTAAAGTTTTGAGACTAACACTTCACTTAGAAAAGAATCAAAGGAGAAGGGTTTTCATAAACAATGATTCTCCTACCGCTAATATCTATCTTTTTGATGACATGGACAGAACTAAGCACACTGGCATAATTGTACTGAAACTACTGTTGGCTGTTTAATACTGAATGTTAATTTGTTCAATTCCAAGGAATCAATGAGAGACGTATGCATGGTTATTGAAGTGTAAAGTCAAGTATCAGATAGATATGACAGTTGAATGTCATTAGATTATTTCTTATAGGTGAATTCCTTGGACTGTACTTATAATTTGTTAGGCCATCAGTTTGAGTTTCTGAACTATGCATCAGTACAAACCTTGAGTTAAATTTCTCATCTCTCATGTGTAAGCTTGAGTTAACGTATGTAGTTTCGTCTAACGTTAGGCCAGTTGAATTTCATAAAGATCAGTTGCAAAACGTTGTAGCCTTGGTTTGAATCGTCCAAGGAGTGGTAATAAGCATGAAGTCTAGGTAAAGTAGGATTTCCTGTCAATGACCACCAACTAACCAGTATCTGTGGGTTTTATACGTTCTGGCTGCACC